TTCCTTAACAGCAACCCAGGAACTACTTGCGTCAAGGTCGGGATGGCGCCCGCCTTGCTGTCCAGTAATGTGTCGCGCCCGGGCCGGATCTGAAAACCAGGTCGTATGCTCTGCTTCAACAGAGCACGCAAAGAGCTCGCGAAGAAGCACAGCCGCTCACTAACAGCTGTGGGGACCTTCTGAAGGTCGACCTGCGTTGACCCTACGGCGCCTTGCTTCCTCCACGGCTCTGATGCAAAGTACGTACCAACGTGCTCGCGCCGCTCAGCCGGTGTATCAAACTCGCATTGCTGCGTCTGCAGCCGCATCCATGTCTGACCGTCCAAGGAGCCGTCTATCTCCCAGCACACCGGATCAAACTGCCGATCATCAGAAGTGGTTGAAAATGAGATTGCAGCAACACAGCGGGGCTTGTCAAAAGTGACGATGGCTTCCCGATACTCCTCGAAATAAGTGAACTCCAGCTCTGCCGGGAACCGGAAACTGCTGGCAGTCCTCAACGCCACCAGGTCTTCGGCTTTTGTCACATTTCTTCTCAAGGGTGGGTTAGCACTGCTGCGGCTCGAAACCGACCTAAGTTCAAGTCTCACTTGCAAAATGACGGGGGACTTTTTGTAGTATGCTGCTGCTATTGAAATGGGACCCTAATTTCTGGAAACTACCACTTCTCTCACGTGATGCAGAATTGAAAACACGGGGCGAGTGTCGTTTACTGGGGGTGCTTAGCTCTCCTCATGACCTTTGAAACTTCTTCATCTGATGAACTCTCCCACCCTCTACCAATATCCATAGCTGGCCAAGGTGAACGGCGCAACCTCTTGAACCAAAATATACAATTTTGAACCAACATTCAAAAGCAAAGCTTTGATCCATTGCCGGCAAGGCATCAGAGGTGACACCTGAAATTCATTGCCAAGGCACATGCGATTCGGAGTGCTTGTTCCCGAACCTGGCAGTAGGAAGGGGTATATAGGGTTTAAGGTTTGGGGGTTTAGGGTGCCCATGATAGAGTTACTTGCTAGAAGAATGAAGGAGTATATTGCCAAGACAGGGATGATATTCGCTTATTCCCTGCTAACCACCAACAACATGATGCTCAGAATTGTATAGGGACCATTTTGATAAACTCCCATTTGGCCTTCAGCCCTGTCATTCATAAGTAATACCACTTGGGAAGCTGTCACAAGAGCCTGGCCGCAGCAGCCAAGCATACAGCAAACCCCGCAAGTACTGAAATCCCTCTTCAGGCATGCTACTGGGTAGGAATCTTATTCCACTGAAGATGACTGTTATTTTGTAGCTCATTGCTAGTAAGACTTCAGAGAGTCTCCGATAAATCTCATGAAGCTCTCCACCAGTCCCCAGCCTATTTGAGATAAAGTTGCTCAACCACCCATGCTTTGCGCCTGTGCCATTGGTTCCATGTGGCACACCACGAGAGAGCAGCTGCCAGCCGCTGCGGATGCCTAGGCCTGCCACAGACGAGGGTTTTCGGGTCTAGGGTTTGGGGGATCGCTGTTTGCAGATAAATAGGGCTTACAGGGAGACAATGGACAAGAAATTGGAAACTACCATTTGGGGACTAGGGGCTAAAGGGTTGAAGTTTAGGGATATATTGTGGATGCATAAGGCTATATAAGGGTTAAAGAAGGATGGAATGGAAACTACTATTTGAGGTTTAGGGTTTAGAGTTGAGGGATGTAACCTCAATAATGGAGAGTCAAATGAAAACGGAAATGGATACTGAAATAACTGGGGTTCAAGACTGGGATAGATTTATGGGGTTTGGGGCCCCATCAAACTTATAAGGCATACATGAATCGTGGAAAGCAAAATGGATTGAAGTCCTAAAAACAATTGGGTATAACAATAAGAATAAGGAGACTGGAAACCAACGTTTGCATTTTAGGTTTAGGGTTCAGGGGCCCCATACAAGCTGCTTGGCCTTCTACTGAATATGTGAGGCTTGTGGTCCAAAATAATTGAAAGATATGGGGATTATGGTCCAACATAATTGAAAATAAACCGCTCCCCCTATCTAATATTAAACCCCCCACCAACCCTAATATCAAATACTCCCGACATATTATACTAGACCACATTATGGGAGTATTTAATATTGAAGTAGTAATATTAATTGTAATAGTATTAGTGGTAGCAGTAGCAGTACTAGCAGTAACAATCAGAACAGTATT